CAGAGGAGGACAGGCTCATGGGCTGTAAAGTAACAAATGGTCACACTGATCATGAAATGAAGCCAGGTTGTGCAGATAATGTAGTTTCTTATTTATTGCTTTTGTAAATTGAATAAAAATGGACTTAATGTAAATAGCTGAATTCTGTATTATCACGGATACTAAAAATTAGGATGTAAACAAAGTGTTCTTCACGGTAACTTTTAAACAGTTTTATGTATTTCTAAACATGACTTAAATTTTAGTTTTCATACATTATGGAAACATAACTGCATACTCCTTAATTGCTTCCAGCTGAACCTATATATTCATTGCTGTATGGAATTCTAATTCCCTTACTACAGTATTAATTTAGGTAGCTTGTTTGTACTGTGCAATTTGAACAAAGGAATGCAATGTTATTTTTTACAAAACAAACTTATTTTTATAATAACAATGTATTTGATGTGGACCAAATTCGTACCACTCTGTAAAACAGCCTCTTTTCTCCTAGTGCAATTACGGTTTAGACCTAGAACGGGTCTGTCCTTGCTTTTTAAAGTCATTGCCTAGATGTTGTCTCGAGCCAGATTTCTTTTGAAGGGAAACTCAAAACCATTTTGGAATCCATAATTCAAAATTCATCAAACTGTACTTCAATTTGAATTTGGTAACTTACTATCATTTTATTTTCTACATTACAAGTGCAATAATTTCACATAATAAAATTCCTGAGTGGGCGGCCCATGTGGTTGTTGGTACCTGGTCCTTCTGGTGCTACTTTGATTTAAGTCTTTGTTTCCAAACCACCTTCCCCTAAATATGAAGATAGAAAACATCACCTCCACCTGAGAACCTGCACCCACCGAAACACTCAGCTGAAGTCTCTTTGCCTGCCCTCGGCTCCAAGAGGGGAAGAGGCAGAATTTCGTGTGTGTTTGCTGGAGTGTTCGATCAGTAAACATTTACCGTTGCAACAGCTGTGGTCTATTCCGGTAACCCCCAGCTGTGTACTGGGCTCACCTGTTCTGTCTGGGTATGGCCGCAGCACGGATCGTCTGTAAAATCTGTCAACTAAATAGAAGTAAATGGCCTCACAGAGGGAAAAGATCGTCCTCTCTGATAATTCATCTGTTACATAATTTTTTAATTCCAATTTTTCTTTCTCTTGTTTTTACCTGTCAACTATTTAAGCAAGCCATACTTTTAACCAGTGTCTTTAAATATATAGTATATTTTAAGTTTACTAACTACATTTAAGTTATTTGCTGATACCAAAAACAAGAAGTTATATGGGGCTAAGGGTAGATTCATCTTTGGCATGTAATTGAAATTGCTCCTTCTGTAAGATTTATTTTTTCTTGGTGCATACATATATGTGTAAGGGAAATAAAACCATTATGTGAATTTTTGTTCATTCATCATCTTAAGAGTTCACAGCTAAAAATACATGTGTCCAAAAACCACAAAAATATTTTTGTTCCTAAATAACATTGACTATGCAAAGGCGTTTGACTGTGTGGATCATAACAAATTGTGGCTGACGCTGAGAAGAATGGGAATCCCAGAACACTTGATTTTTCTAATGCGAAACTTATACTTGGACCAGGAGGCAGTCGTCAGAACAGAGCAAGGGAACACTGCATGGTTCAAAATTTGGAAGGGCATATGCCAGGGATGCATCCTATCTCCATACCTTTTCAACCTATATGCAGAA